TGAGTCTATACCAGGATGGCCAGTGTGCCAGGAAGCAATGCTCAAAGTAAGGACCAGCACTCCCCCAAGGTGAACTATAGCCATTCTCAGTGACGACAAGGTCTTGAGCTCCTCCAACGATGAGAACAGCCAAGTTCATCCAGAAAGCTAGCACGACAAGCTCCTGCAGGAGAACCAACAGCTCCAGGAGAACTAACAGCACCCTAACAGCACTTACACTTCTTCCTCTCCAGTTCTGTCTCTTATGCTGCTGGCAACAACCCTCAGGTGGGCCTCCCACACCCAGCACCATGCTGGTTCAGTTCAGCTGGCTGTTACAAGTTGACCAGCAGTTGTCAATCCATCCCAGTTTCCATGGGTGAATTCATAAGGATAGTGGTAGGAAGTTGCCAAGTAGGTGTAACGATGGCCATCCATTGTGATGCTTAACCTTTCACAGAGTCCCTCCACACACATGATCTCATTTCCCTGTGACGAATGTGGAGTATCTGTTGTCTATCTTCATGCTGTGATGCCACTTTGACCTACAGTGGTAGTTGGTTGCATGTTAGCCAAAGCAGCTGGAATTTCATGAAGACATTGCCATCAGATCCATAGCTTTGCCACATGATACTCTGATGTTACGCCTTCCAGACATTTCAGCTCAGCCCCTGAAAACAGGAAATGCCCTTCTGAGTTTTCTGATAGCCGATCCCTACAGAGTAGCCTAAGAGACAAAAAATGAATTGCTCACTGGAATCCCTGAGATATCCACTCTCTAAAGCATAGGTTTCCCCCATCTTCCCTCAGATTTTTCCTGATTCTTTTTCATCAGAGACTCTATTAGGAAGATTAAGTAGGTATATTTCAAGCAGCTCCACAATTGCACTGGTTTATGCCCTCATTTTATTTTTTTCTTTCATTTATTCATGCAACCATTTATTCACCCACCAATTGTATTGACCACCTGTGAAGCAAGTAATGATTAGGCAAAGCAGTTTTACAAAAGCAATCCCAAAATAGTATCATTTAAGAAAAATATTAGTTTATTCCTCTCTCTCACTTGAGTGTGGGGGTGAGCAGTCCTGTGGCAGGGATCTTTACTGGGTTTCTTCTCTCATGTTGCTCTGCTGTCCTTACAGTATGGTACTTATCTGTCACATCTTCTTTCTAGACCATGGGAAGCAAAGGAGCAAAGGGAACAAATTCTTTCACCATTAAGATCTGAAGTGCAAGTTCACCTTATTTCTACTCTTATCCAAAAGACAAAATTCTGGTTGAGTCATGCCACCCACATTCTGTGAAGGAATCTGAGAAATGTAGCTCCAGTCGGACACTGTGTGCTCAGATAAAGCTTAATACAAGAAAGAAGGGCAGAGTGGTAGTTGGGACAACAGCAGTATCTACCACAATTGGCCCTATGTGACAGTGTCCTAAGTAAGATGAAAATACAAGTCTTGATTTGTTTATGTTCGTGATACTGGTATGCTGCTACTGTTCTATTTTTTGGTTTGTTTGTTTCTCATTTACTACTCTCTTTAAAATAAAAAAACTAAAAGGAAAATACAAGTCTTATTGCTGAGTTGCTTGTAAACTAATGAAAAAGAAATGCTTTGCTTCCTAGCAGCATACAAGGCAATGTGGAAGAAGAGCTGGGAGTGAAGACCGGGAGTTCAAAGAATTCAGGGGAGAGGGAAAGATCCTTAAAGCTGAATGACCAGACTCAGTTCCTGAAGAAGGTGGCATTTGAGTTAGCTGGACTGGGCTGAAAAGATGGCTATAATGCTGAAAATAAACATGAAACAAGGGCAAAAAGCAGGTCAAAGAGCAGTGACAATCATAAACCAAAGGGCAGGTGTCAGAGGTGAACAAGGGATTCTTCACTACCTTTTCCAGACAGCTGCACACATAGGTCCACACATTTCTTTGTGTACACCTTTGTTTAGCACATGCCGGTCACCGGCCTCTATTTCTACCTCTGCCTGGAAGATCCTGGCGTCATCCTCTGCACCTTGAGAGCAAACACGTGCCCTGCCTGAGAAGGTGTACTAGGCAGTGAGTCAGCCGGGACCTGGGATTCCATAACTTATTAATGACAGCCACTTCCAGAGCTTTGTAGTTTGCAGAGCATGCTGACCTATAGAATTTTATTTGATTTAAATTTCACCTCACTTCAACTCAGAGAGGCTGGCTAAAGTAGGACATCTGAGATAAAAATGATTTTGAGGTATGAAAGAAAAATAAGTAGTAAGGAGACAAAAAAAAAATCATAGTTTTACAATTGTACTTTAAAGAAAACTTCAGTTTCAGGAAATAAAAGTTACCCAAGGTAACAATGCCGCCTTTTTTCTTCCTTTCAGGGAATTCATTATCACATTCCTAAGTCCAGTAAAGTAAGCCCGTAAAATGGGCCCTTGCCTTTCTACTATAAATTAAGCTCCCCTCTTTTCATCTGATACTGGAATTTCACAAATTCCAGAGATACCCAACCCCAGACACAAACACCTTCAACCCCAGCCCATAATGTGCCTCCCCTTCCCGCAGCACCTGCACTCTGAGTGTGTCCTTTCTGCTTAATCAATCTGTGCATGCCACTCAGGGACACTTGCTGAAATGCTCTGCAGCAACAAGTAAAGAAAACACTTCACAGGTGGGGGCAAGCTGAGGTCCCCATCTCCTCTCTGGGTGACAGTTTGAAAACTCGAAGTACTATGGAATGGAGAATGTCCTTATGGCAACACTCAAATCTTGTTATTTCAAACTTCCTTGATTCAGACTTTAGGGAAATGTGTATAAGGGTCTAGGTAGGCTGAAAATTACCTTTCTGCTCAACACACCTGAAAGGATTTGCCAAGCAAATTAACAAGGTGGCCAGAATGGCTGCAAGACATGTCTAACCCAGGGAGGACAATCATTTACAGTGACGACTGCAGCACTATTGCAGGAATATTGTACTTCAATTGATTTTGTTGTAGTTGTTTTGACTTTTTTTTTTTTTTTTTTGAAACAGGGTCTCATTATGTAGTTGAAGCTGGCCTTGAGCTCACTATGTAGCCTAAGCTTGCCTTGAACTTTTGACGATCCTCCTGCCTCAGCCTCCCAAGTGCTGGGATTACAGGTGTGTGTTATCACACCTGGCTCAACTGATTTTGAACAATGCTCTTTTCATTCAAGTAGGTCTGGTGGTACAAGGCAATAAACTTTGCTAGCTTTGGTCAGAGCTTCTGAATATTCTGAAGAGTAAGAAAATTGCTAAGGAAATTATTTTGGGGACTCAGAGAATTTAAGTGCTTAAGAAAGCACAGAACAACCACTTGGTCAGAAAGTTGAAGGAGCCAGTTTGGACTCATTTTGGCAATTCCCCAAAATCCACATAAGAGCTCAGCCAGATAAATGCAGCATGACTCTGGCTCGGCGAGGATCCATCTGCCTGGTTGTCCACCTTTGCTCCACTCCTCCCAGAGAACCTTTGCCCAGGTGCTGAAGAGCTCAGCATGAAACCTGGGCCGTGCTGAATTCTACAGATATTCTATGATTAGCAGCCAGCATTGCTCCACTATTCTGTGCAGGCGGGTGCTCAGTGCCTGCTTCTATAGATGGTGAAACTGGGTCCTCGAGAAGTTAAGAAGCAAGTCCAGAGTCATAGTAACGGTAAAGAGTAGAGTCAGGGCTTAGTCCTTGGGTTGCAGATACAAAGCCCCTGCTTTTACAAGCACTCTTCTTTCACCATTATGCCTTGGACTTAACATTCTCTATTTAGTATGACATGACTTAGTGTCGTTCTTGTTAATTTACATCCTAACAAAACTCAGAGATTGAAGACCTGTCTTCCAACCACATCCCTTGAAGCCTTAATAAGAAAGCTTGTGACATGGCTTGTGTTCTCAGGAGTCTGGGCCCTGGGGAAATTAGCTACAGCTGAGGAACTTGGGAAATCCAAACCTAAGTGTATAAATACCGAAGTGTGTACACACAGACCATCTTTCAAAGTGGATGCACCACTGCAGGGGTGGGGGGCTGTTACTTAGCAGGAGCCAGAAATCAGACATTTTTGATGAACATATATATTTGATTATGAACATGAATTTCAGTCATTCACCAGACATTCAGTGAGCCCCAATCTATGGCAGGCATTGAGTTGAACACTGGGGGTACAGAAAAAAGATGAGGTCTCTGCTCCTCACAGGAAATGGCTTGTTGAGTAGTAGTACTAAGCATAACCACAGTAACAGCCTGGGCTATGACCAGTGAGGACCAATGTGGCACAATAACCAGACTCATCACTGCAGTACTCTACGCAGTACTGAATGTATGCACTGCAGTGACAAAGCAGGGCCAAAGAAGACTTCATAAACCACACTTCAGCACAAGCCCTGCCTCCCCAGACAATGCTGCAGTCATCTTTGAGAGGCTGAAATTTTGGTGAAAGGACAAGGACCCTCAGGTGATGTCACTGGCCTCCCTCTGCAGCTCTGGGCCTCCTGGACTGTGGTCCCGGCTGGCTATGTGTCTGAGCAGAGCATGATTGATGGCAAGGCTCAGAGTCTGTTCCTTCACCTCAGCTGCCCTCTCCCTGCTCCGAGGAAGCTGCCTTCTATCTGTGGTCAAGCCCTTCCTGGCGGAAATGACCAGCATTCTATCCACCTGGAAGGCCTCTCCCATCTGGGGCACTGTTTTCTCCTTCCAGGCTTGTTATTTCTGCGGTAGAGAAGCTGGTGAACAAAGAAAACAGGACCTGCTCACTCCCCAAAGGCGGGAGGACTAGGCAGTTGGCAAGGGCTGGGGGAGATGAGAGCTGATAATAGCATTTGCATTTTCTGGTTTGAATCCTGTTTGCCAGCCTGTCCCCAGATGCACCCCTGCACTCACTGTTTCCAAAGCCAGAGTGGTCACCGGTCAGTGCCTTTTCTCCTCCTTCCCTTACATTCCCTGTGCCTCTAGACACAGGGCGTGACTCACGTTATGTTAAATATGTGGCTGATGTCCATAGGTGTGCTTGGCTGTAAGGACAACTGGTCTACCAGGGGAATCCAGGAACACCTGAAAACTGGACTCTACCAACGGAGCAAAGGGGACAGGAGCCAGAACCAGGGATCCAGGTGGGAGTAGACCACTTCCTGTTTCTCTCTGTCACCTTAGCCCCAGCAGTGCTTTCATTTCCTGCCAAGACGAAGACTCTTTTTCCTCCCACCTTCCTCCTCCTTCTTCCTTGTTCCCTCCCTGTCCTGCCTCCTGCCTTGCTCCCCACATCACTCTTGGGAACACTAAGAACCATGCACTGCCCACAGCTTCTGCTGCACCAGGGCCCTGCGGTCTTCATGGCCTCCTTGCCAGCCCACTCTCTGGGGACTTCTTTTTCGGTCTCTTTCCTGCTTCCAAAACCAGCACCCTTTCTTCATAACCTCCACTCAGCTTCCCGTCTGACCAGAGCTTTCTTGCAATATTGTTTGCCCAGCTGCTGGCCCAGCAGTCACAGCGAGACAACTGCACTGACACGTTATCACGGTCCATTCCAGGGAGGGATGGCCTTAGTGGAGGGCTCAGGCTGATTTCATCCCCCTTTCCACATGCACATTTACCTCAGCTCCCTGAAAAGGAGGCTGGCAGCATTGGAGGGCTTGTTCTGTCCCTATGCATCCTGGACCTATGCTCTGAGCAGGAAGGGCCTTGCAAGGAATCTAGTCCAGGGCCCCTGCCTGTCTTAGGCTAGCCTGGCTGAGACAGCGTCCACCTCTGTTTAACTGCCTCCTGGAGCTGGGAGCTCTGTCTGTGCCTCCTGTGGTCCCCTCGCAGCCTATGTGACTGCTAGTGAGCTTCTTCCTCTGTTGAGCTGGCTCTGCCTGCCTGGAAATCCCCTCATTGCTCTTACTCCATCCTCCTAAATGTTATGCCAGATAACAGAAGGTGGTTTTCTTGCATTTTCATTTTAAGAACTAAATACCTCTACTGCCCACAAACATTCCTCCTCTGACCTATTTTGAGTTATTTTAGTAACCTGGCCATTTTCCCTTAAACGAAGGTCCATTAAGATGTAGCCCAGAAGAGACAGCAGTCCTCTGGGTGTGGGTTGATGAGTTCCCATCCATGTGGGGCATCCAGACTTCCTATTAAAGTTGTTCCCTTCATATTACATTCCAAGGAGGGGTTTAAGGGGCCCCAGTGATGTAGCTGGTTAACAGGCTGTCATCAGTGGTACTTCTGCTTTTAGGGTGCACATATTATTAAAGCCACATCACCCAAAGACCACTAGACAGAAATCCATACACACACATGCTTGTGCACACATACAAATGCACGGGCACATGAACAAGCACACGCACACATGCACACATACAGATCTATGAACTGATACTGATATGGTAAGGAGAAGGCTCCATAGCACAAGACAATGCTGCTGGACAAGACGGAGGGGCTGCACCCAGTGCAAGTTGTGTGTCTCTGCTGAAGGATTCCAGGAGGGGAGAAGGACAGCAAAAATCAATCCCAGACTTTGCTGAGGCAGGGTCAGGGGAAGAGGGAAGAATGGAGCACAGTCAGGAGGCCAGGGCAGCTTAGCAACTGGGTGTCCTTGGTCATAGAAGGGATTTGCAAAGTGGCAGTGGTGGCGAACGTATGGCACATGTGCTGCAGCTCGTTATCACTGAGAGCTCTGAAAGGTTCACCTGGGGTACCACTGCAAAGAAAGTGGGAGTCACAGCCACCGCATGACCTTGAGAGAAACAAGGTCTCTTGTTAACTTGGGCCTTCTTTTATCTGCATCCACTCCTAAACCCTCCTTGCCCCCACCACAGCCTGATTAATTGGACTCTTTCTTTCCAGTCCAAGTTGATTCTCACCCTTTCATTCCCTGTGGTTGTTTTTGCTCTTTTAGTATTCTCGTGGGTTCCAGGGGCATGAGAGGGGCAGGTCTAGCATCTCCCCACATTCTGTCGGGTGTTCAAAGTGGATGCAAGGGACCAGCCATGTGAACCACACAGGTCCAAGCAGGACTCTGGCACCGATGCTCCTTCCCTCCTACTCAGTCACTCTCAGACTCCACTCAGCCTGGGGCCACAGTCTCCCGATGCCTTTAACGCCTGTATCTGAGCCCCATGGCCATTGATCCAGCTGCCTGGTAGTTCCTGAGGCCCCCTCAAATCCACTGCCCATGCTCAACTCTGCTGTCCACCAGCCTGCTGTTGATCACTTTCTCCGGCCAGGCAGCTGCTGTCCGGGTGCCTTGCAGCTCCACCTGTCCAGTCATTAAAGCCAGAAGACCCCTCCTTCACCCTCCAGCCCACTGGTTACCATAGCTTTTCAGCTCCTCTAAGCATTGTTCCAACCTACTCGCTTTCTTGGGTCCTTCAAATTTTTTTTGCTTGAATTAATGTAAAACCTGTGAACCCATCTTCCTGGTTTCTTTACCCTCTATTTCATTACATGCCCAGGTACCAGCTACCAGGAGGAATTCCTTCCTCCTCCCCCTGCCATTTGTTCTTGCTTTGGTTATGCTAGCAAGCAAACCCAGGGCCTTGTGCACCTTGCGTCAGTCAAGTACTCTGTCACTGAGTTATACCCCCAGACCGGCATCTCTTAAGAGCCCTTCAGCTAGAGGGAAGTTGAATGACCTTACATACCCCACAGGCTTTTCATCTAACTCAGCCTGTTTTCCAAACCCTGATTCTTCCCTGTATCTGAATGATCCAACCTTAACGAAAACCAGCAGCTCCCTAGCCTGGCTGTCCTCAGTCCTATCATATCTTTATACAGGTGTTTTCATTGTCTAGGATGTCAGCGGTAAAAACAAGACCACTGTCACCACATATTGAGCACATATGGGTCAGGTGACCTGTGAATGGGTTTATAGTGTCATCATAACAATCCTATGAAATAGGTATTATTTCAATCTCTATTTTACACATTAAGAAATTGAAATTCAGGGGCTGGGGATTTAGCTCAGTGGCAAAGCGCCTGCCTGGCAAGCGCAAGGTTGTGAGTTCGGTTCCCGGTACCGGAGAAAAACCAAAAACCAAAAAAAAAAAAAAAAGAAATTGAAATTCAGATCAGGGTTGTGATGACACATGTCAATAGTCCCAGCTACTCAGGAGGCTGAAGCAGGAGGATTGCTTACTTAAATCCAGATATTTAAGGCCAGCCAGAGCAACACAGTGAGATCCCCTTCTCAAAAAAAAGAGAAAAAAAGACCTAGGACTTGCAGAGTTTAGGAGTTCAGCTGATAACTGACAGAGCTGGCCTAGGACACTGGAATTCTGACAAGGCAGATTCTACTATATGTCCTCCTGAGTGTGTGATACAACCAATCAAGTTCTACATGTCAACTGCCACATCCTGTTATTCGAGAGCCCTCTCTGACGATTCTTTGCTCAGTAGTTAACTTCCTCCTTCTTGTCACTCTCTGGTACATCACTGGAGTCTGTCACCCATCCGTGCTATAATGGGCATGTGAGTGCCCCCCCACCCTCAGAGCAGCCATGTGTGCTTGCTGCCCGCCGGGCCAGGCTGTGGCTGACTGAACCCCAAAGAACTGCCCACAGACCTGGGACGCAGCTGTCATGGCTATGTCTCTGCCTAAATCAAGAACTCCTGGAAGGCTGCATCCCATGGGAGCTCCACTCGGATTCCCTCGTGAGGAGCCCTGCAGACTGTGTGGCTGAGGAACAACTTCCAGCTGCTCCCCTGTGAGCCCACTGGGGCTTTAGGTCTCTCATCAGCCCTCAGCCAGCGTGCACCTAACATGCTAATTCGGGCCCGTTCCTGCCCTGCCTGGGCTCCTTGGCTTGGGCACCTCCCTGCTGGCTCAGCTGCGGCTCCAGAGAGCTGCATGGCAGTCGGTGCTCCTCTACCCTCTCTCTCCCTGCTAGAGCCACCCCAATGCCACCGTCTGAGGACTCTCCACCCCCACTCCTGCTTCTCCCCCCTTTACCTTTCCTAAGCGCTTCCCCCAGTATTTCTCTAGCCATCAAATCCAGTTTGGTTGTCTCTTTCTTGGAGGAGCTGAAATGACTGAATATCAAAAACTACCTCCATATACCTGATTCCTAGCACCTGTACTGACACACGGCAAGCGCCTGGTGACTGCCGGATGGATGAAAGATGGGCCAGTGTGTCAGGCCATTACTGCATCTCCCTAATTGATTTCTGTGTCACTTCCATATCCATCTTCCTAGAGCACCACCTTCTGTGGATGACTTCCTTTCTTCCCCACAGGCAAGGTAGTAGCAGGTTTTACTTTAATAATCAAAAACTGGGTGTGGTGGTACATGAATCTAATCCCGGTACTGTGGGATGCTGAAGCAGGAAGATGGCAAGTTTGCGCCCAGCCTAGGCAAATTAGCAGTTTACCAGGATCCTATCTCAAAATTTAAAAAATAGGGCTGGGGATGTAGCTCAATCTCAAGTCACACCAAAAACAAATAAATAAGGCAATGGATCTTAGTAATACTACTGATGTGGGCTGTAATCTTTATGCTCAAATTCAGTTTTGTAAAATCAGATTTTATTGGTATAATTTAGATATGCATAATGATCACATTCATCATAGAGAATTTGTACCTGTACTTGATATAACTTGATTCTTTTTTATCCTCTTTGCCTCCCTTCCTATAACTTCTCCTCCCCACCCCATTTACAAAAGTTGTTTCCATTTTTCCCTTTTTTTCTCACTTTGAATTCAGTTTTTTTAAAAGCAGATATTAAAAACAAGACTTTTTGGACCATTGAGTAGTAAAGATGAATTTGAAAGTGTTTTTAGAAAATAAAAACTTCCCAGAGGGTAAATGCCTCTGTCCCCGCACCCGAGCGTGACTGCTTTTGGAGTTCTGCATGCTGGGCTTGCCTTCCTACCTATTCCCCTCCTTGTTCTCCCCCAGAAGACCTTAAAATCTTCACGCACTCACCAAAGCATGAGTTTCATAGCCATCAATCTTCAATTCATGGTTTCGCATCCTCCACAATTGCCCACATCCCATGGGTGACATCAGGGCTGCCACAGCACTCAGCCCCGAGGTACCACTCCCATCACAGTCTCTGATGCTGGCAGCTCCTGCACCGCACGGGGTGCAGCCGTGCATGGATTCTCCCTGGGGAAACTCGCTTCTCC